CTGCTCTTCACACGCCGCCGCGCACCCCAGTGTCAGCCCTCGGCACAAGGCTCCTCCGTGGCCGGGCTCCGCTCCGGCTGGGTGGTGGCCACGGCGTCCTGCACGGATTATCCTGTGGGTGATTGCAGCCAGTGATGCTCAGCTCCTCCCGCCCCAAACCGCAGGGGTGTCACGCTCAGGAGAGGGACACGTGTCTCCATCAGCAAAGGACAGTCTCGAGGCACTTTGGGTCCTCACGGGCGATGAGACACGTACGGGGAGGAGGAGCAGGGATGGGCTGTGTGGTGGCACTTGGGAATGTCCTCACAGCTCCGGGCAGCAGCTTCCACATGTGCTGCCATCAGCAGACCCGCAGGGCTGAAGCTCAGCTGTGCCAGGGCTGTGGACTGGCAGCACAGGGGGGACTGTCCCCCTTTACCCGGCTGGCAGAGTACGGTGCCAGGGGGTCTCAGACGCAGCCCCGTCCCTGCGGGCAGAACTGACTGTGCCATCCCGGAGGTCCATACCCGGCGTCACTCTCAGCTGCGTTTGCCCACCGTCACTGGGGCTCGTGACGAGCTGCCCGGAGAGGAGAGGGGCAGCGTTCAGCGCAGCACGTGGCTGCCCGCTTTGTGCATCCTCAGCCCTTTAATTATGTCCCTTTTCCACTTGCGCTGTGAAAAGAGCTGGGGAGCGTCTGCCTGCAGCCGCCGGCACCTTCTGGGTGAGCGCGTGGGCAGCGGGGCCGATCCTGCCCGCGCTGGAGGCAGGGTGCTGGGTTATGCGTAGCAGGGGCTGCAGGGCGCTGCTTGCATTTGCTGTTGCGGGCACGTAGGAGATGCAGGGGAAGAAATCCTCCCTAAGCCCGCAGCTGCCCGGCCAGGGACGCAGAGGTGCCCTTCGCAAGGTCAAACGGTCCCTCGGGCTGCGCGTTCGGTGCCTGGGGTCTGGTGGGACCCTCGCTTTCTGCTTTGGGTAACGCTGCTCTGCCTGCAGCCAAACCTCTCTCCTGCCGCAATTAAACCCGTGGGCAGCCCGTGGGGAGCTGGCAGGGCAGGGGAAGGAGGGTTTGACACGTTGGCTCCTGGCTGGCAGGAGGACGGCCCTGCCTGCTGGGGAAATACTGGGAGCTCTTCACCTTTTGGGGCAAAACGTCTGGAGATGGGAGGGATGGAGCTCCCTGAGGTGGTGGGCACCCGGGGCTGATGGATGGGGCAAATTCCCCTTCTGCGCGGGGCACCGCAGCTGCCGGCAGCCTGCCTGCTGCCTGCCGGATGGCACGGGGCTCCCCGGCACCCACCGCCCTGGCAGCACGCGGCACCTCGTGCGGTGGGGACGGGTGGCCGTCAGTGCCACGGTCTGTGCCGGTGCCTGACCACCCGGCATTTCTGCCTCTGCCTTGACGTGCCCCCGTGCCAGCAGCTGGAGCTACTGGTTAGACTGGTCCCAGACCTCATTCTCCCCCAGTGCCGCCAGCTCTCGTGACCGTGACGTAGCCGTGCTGGCTGCCCGGTCCCTAAGGACAAACACCCTTTGCCCCGTGATGGCTTGTGTCCTCCCGCTGCGGGCTGAGCCGTGCCGGGAGCAGGGCTCTCCCTGGCAGGGCTGCGGGCACCACGGTGGGCGCCGGGTCCTGGGGGGCACTGGGGATGGACAAGGAGGGGGAATGCCAGAGCATCCCAAGGGCTGGTACTTGCCAGAGGAAAAGCCTCCCAGCTCCTCCCAGTTGGATGCATTGTTGTGAAAGTGAGCAACTGGTTTGCAGGGATGCTGTGCCCAGCGGGGAGCAACGAGGAGGGTCCTGGGGGAGGGTCGCAGGGGTGCGAGATGGGGGGGTTGGGGAAATCCCGGCCCTGAGCCCGATAGGATGGATCCCTGCCGGCCATGCTGTGTGTGGGAGGAGGCGGGAGTGCGGTGGGCAAGCGGGGAGGACAGAGGAGGGGCCCCCCCCCCCCCCCCCTCC